AGGATGGGTCCAAGTATTGAGCCCTGTGGAACTCCGCTGGTGACATCTCGCCACTCTGATGTCCTTTCTTTCCCCCCCCTCACAGTTACTCGCTGTTTACTGTTGCTTAAGTACACTCTTATCCACTGGAGCACCTTCCCTTTTACTCCTGCCTGTTGCTCCAACTTTTTTAACAGCCTTTGATGGGGTACTGTGTCAAAGGCTTTCTGGCATTACAGGAAAATGCCTCCTGCTCCATTATAAGGCCCTCTCGTTTGTCATCCAGTTCTTCCTTTGTCCGTTTGTTGCTTGCTGGTGGGCTGTAGGCATTTAAAATTATCAGGTTATCGTCTTGGTTCCAGACCTGCAATGCCATTATGTCAATATATCGAGGGTTTTCAATTACAGTGGAACCTCGAATAATGAATTTAATCCGTTCTGGCACCTTGGTTGTCATGTGAAACGGACGTCATACAAAACAAATTTCTCCATTGACAATAATGGAAATCAAATTAATCCGTTCTACCACCGAAAAACATCAATATGATATTCAATGTTTTAAATAATGGAGCAGCCTACCTTACATGCACTGAACAAACCCTTATGACTTTTTTCTTTCTTCAAATTTGTTCAATATTTTTTTTTTCCATTTTTTTATAGCAAAAGGTTCATTTGGTGATCGACAGGTAGGCTGCTCCATGTTTCTTAAATAAAAAAAAACAAAAAACAAAAAATAAAAAAAACAGTTTAAACAATTTGAAAAACGGACAAATACCATAAAGGTTCGTTCAGTGTTTGTCGGGTAGGCTGCTCCATTATGACAATCTTTCTTTGTCCATTTTCTTTGTGTTCCATTTGTTTTGTATTTTTCATTTATGTCTCAATAATGGAGCAGCCTACCCGTTAAACATTGAACGAACCTTTATGCATTTGTCCGTTTTTCAAATTGTTTCAGCCGTTTTTTATTTATTTTTATTTATTTAAGAAACATGGAGCAGCCTACCTGCCGAACACCGACCGAAACTTTTTGACATTTGTTCTATTTTTCAATTTTTTTTTTTTTATTTAAGAAACTTGGAGCAGCCTTCCTGCCGAACACTGAACGAAGCTTTTTGACATTTGTTGTTTTTAAACAAATTTAATTTCTTTTTTCTATATAAAAGTCAATGATTTTCGACATCACAGCAGTCACCCCTTTATATCCCAACATCATTGGCATCTTTAAAAAAAAATGATTTATTTGCATCGTCCGAGGTGTCCGAGAATATGCGAGAAGCAGCGCAACCCCACCATGTGGTATCGTCGTTATTCAAACGAGCGCTCGCCATACGAGACGAATTGTCTGTGATCTGGGCGCTCGTTACCCAAAATGCTTGCCAATTGAGGAGGTCGTCACTTGAGGTTCGACTGTATTAACACTCTTACCTTCAAGTGTTCTTTCACCAGCACAGCCACTCCTCCCCCCTTTCCTAGTTTTCCTGTCAGGTCTCCAAACTAAGTAGCCCCTTGGGAATACAACCTTATTTAAAATATTTTCCTCAAGTTTCGTCTCTGTTAATGCGACAATATCTGGGACTTTGAGCTGAATTATATCCTTTAACTCCAATATTTTTTATCTCACATCATCTATGTTGGTACAGTATATACTATTTTCAGGAACATGTTCCCCTTCTCTTTGTTCTTTACACCCCTTCCTTTAATGATTTTGTTGCTTTGTCTTTATGTACCATTTCACAAGCTTCCAGTCCCTGACACTATATAGAAAAAATAATTCCTTCTTCTTCATTTCTATCCCCATTTAGACGTTTCGCTTCAATGAGGTTCATTTTCAGCTTTTCTCTGTCCTCCTTGAGAGGTCTTGTCTTATTGACCAAAGTTTGCCACCCTCGTCATTTTGCAATTTTCTGGCATTCCGGAGCACTTCTGTCATATACTTCACTTCATTAAACGTCACCCTTAAAAGGAGGTTCTTGTCTTTCTCATATTTTCCTATCCTCCTAAAATCACTGACATGCTTTTTTGAATTTAGGACTTCTCCTAATCCTACTATTTTTTTCTATGATTTTCATCTCTTCTGCTGCTCTGTCCACCATAGATGAAATTTCCTTCTCTAAACATCCAAAAATTATTATGGACTTACTTCTATCTACAGTGTTTTGTACTAGTTTACTGTTGGTAACCAGTTCTTTCCTAATTGCTTACCTAAGATCCGCTTCTTGTTTGTCATTTCTGGTTTTGACTTCCAAACACACTTCCTTAATTGTCTCTTTCTCTTTTACAACTTGCGCATACATCTCTTTTATTTCTTCTTTATACTTTTCTAGTTCTTTATTAACTTCCTGTATGTGAGTCATCAAAGAAATTTCCAGTTGCAGATCCTTGCCTAACTCTATGTTAGCCTTCAGGGTTCCTTGGAGTTGTTCACTATATGAGTCTATTTTTTTGTTTATTTCTTCAAAGTCACCACTCTTCACTTTCCACACCTCATTTTCTTTTACTAGTTTCTTGATTTGCTCCTCCTGATTTGTTACCTTGTTCGTTAATGCAGTAATAATCTTACCTTGCTGAAGAATATTTCCTTTTAGAGTGCAAAGCTCACTCCTGAGAGTTCCATTGTCCTCTTCCAATTTAAGCACTTTTTCTTCATACTTCTTTTGCATATCCTCAATTATTTCTAACCTGCCAAGAATATCTCCTTTCCTTATATCTTGTGATGAGAAACCTTTGAAACAATCATCTGGTGGTGTGTTTACATTCCCCGTGGTGGTGATGGCGGTGGCCATCTTTGTTATTGACAATAGTTTGTTCTAGAAAACAAACTTTTCCAACTCAGCTATTTTCACTCACTTTTACTTGTTTATTGTATTTTATTTGCCTTTACACTTCCCTGAACCTTTATGTAATCTGAAACACCACTGTAGCCCTCAGCCTGTTCCCAATACTGTACTGTACTGAACAAGTTAGAGGATGTTGATCCTGATATTTTCTACAGAAAGTCAGATGTAACACAAACAAGGAGCAATTGTTTCACACTCAGCAAGCCACAGTGTAGGACTGAGAACAGGAGATGCTTTTTCACCCACAGGGTTGTTAACCCATGGAACCGTCTACTCATCAAAGCCATAAAGGCCAAAACTGCGTTAGATTTTAAAATGTACCTGTCTTGAAGGCAAATGGGGGAAGATTTGTCAAACCGTCGGCTTTCTGTCCTCATTGAGGCCACTAGGGTTAGTGGCCCTCGTGTAAATCAGGTAAATCTATAAATAGAGGCCATTGACTTGTTGGTGGGAGAAACTGGTGGTGACACATGCTCGTGATAAAACTGTAGTAGCCACTTTCCAGCAGCACATTTCATGTTGGTAGATGCTAAGTAACAAAAGTGTCGTTGGCCTTCTGTTAACATAAGGAAATTTCATCTATTTACATATATAATTAATTTAAAGTTTTAATAAAAAATCAAGTCATGTTTCCATTATCCCAGAGATCTTTTATGTTGCTAGTGATCAGTGTGACAGTCATACACAAGTGGAAGGTGCCCAGTCCAGCTAAGATTGTCACTCAGCTCAATACTTTTCCTGCTCACTACAGACTCTTTTGCTAGAGTATACAGTATTAACATTTATTTTGTGAAATTACAGTATGTTGTTTTTTAATTATAGAATCATTTGTGGGAAATTTTACTAGTAGGATTTTTATTACAGTATTTATTTTAGTTGTTATTATTTATTTGTTTATTAGATTGATTGTATTTTATTTTACTATTAAATTATTTCTTTAGAGAGCAGACTATATAGATTAAATTTATCCCACCGATAAACCTCCTTCACAAACTTCGGGGGCTTTATGATTTCAACTAGACATGAATTAACCTATTAGATGAACAAATCCACAAGGATCATGGCGAGGATTCGAACCTACGTCAGAGAGCATCCCAGATGCTGCCTTAATTGACTGAGCTACGACATGGTAAAAGAGTTGAAACTTGAAGTTCTACTGAACTTACTTGGATCCTGCAGCCTCTCCAAGACACAAACCATGGTTTTACACAACTTCCCCATGCACTTGAGCTATGTCAATAGGCTGTTCTACCTCTTCGCCCTTACTTCAATACACATAGAAATCACAATAGCGTGATGCATCAAATGAACAAATCCACAAGGGCATGGGGGAGTTGTGTAAAACCCTTGTATTTTGAAGCCAACATACTTGTACCAATAGCTTCTTAGTCCTAGTGTTGCAACCTTTTCCACAGACCAGATCCTAACATTTCTGTTTGATATAGCTTAAGAAATGTTTACAATAAGAAGATATGCAAAATACATAATTAAAGCACAGTAAACAGATGTGCCTACAGGAACTGTACTTGTTAATTCAATAATCCAAACTGGTAGCAGCTTTTCTTACCATAAGTTATGTGGTAACTTAACCACATAAGAATGAGTTACCAGCCATCCTATAATTAGTTAAAAAGAAATGTGGCTTTGCATCTATAGTATTTGGTTAAATGTGGTTCTTGCAGTGGAGCATAAAAATAAACAGGCTTGCTTAACTCGGCTCAAGATGACACAACAACGGCTTTAAATTTCAGCATCAATATCATGCTGCCTCTATTTTTCTATGAGCTCCACTATGTTTGGATCTCATTTAGCAGATTATAACCAGGTACCATCACCATCCACTTAAATTGTCAACTTAAAATATACAAGATATAACTATATAGTGCTTAAACCGTTTGAACTTTGAAATGCATTGTATACAATGTTTCTCCAAAAATCTACCCAAGTTGTGACATGTATATATGTTTGCCATTAATGTTTATATTTACTTAATGGTATTGTTTTATAATATTACATAAGAATTAAGGAAAGTTTACAAATTAGCTACCATTGTATCTCTGTCTACATTGTATGTTCTGCTTCTAAACTCAAATACAGTACATAGCTAAATAAAATTTTATTGTACTTATACTTTACTGTATATTTGCTTTTTCTAATTAATTTTTTTCTGTTTTTCCTCACAAGCTGTCAAGATGAATAGTAATCGGTAAGTATGAAAGAAAGAGCTGATCTCCAGTTGTATAACAGTATCTAATTTTGTAGCATTTAGAATTTGTCTAATATTGACACAGCATAAAATGCACCTAACCAAATCTAACTAAACCACTTACCCTACCCTAGGCCTAATTACAGTATATACAAAGCCTATATACAGTATACAGAAGCACCTTACTAGGACTACCTGTGCATTTTACAACACATTTGAATGTATTCAACATGTAATTTTTTAATGACAGTCCCTTAAAGGTGCGAGTGTTTTAGTTTTGAATGCATTTTAATTGGTGATAAAACTCTTAAAATATGAGCACCGAGTGAAAATTGCATGGTATAGTATCTAATTAATACTACTAAACCTCCAAAGTATTTGCCTTCTCAGGAAGAAATATGGTACTGTAACAAATTCTTTTAAGCCTCGTACACCGTATTCACTTGCCAGCTGATCCGTGCCCCTGAGCGAACCCCACTTATAAAAATTGTATCTAAACTATTGTACAAGTCCAGTTGATGGGAATTCATGCACTACTTTTTCCTGAGATGCATATACAGACTAAAGATTCCATACTTGATTACTTACACTATGGTTTGCATTATTGTAAATGCCTGATGGAGTATAAGCCATGCCTTAGGCTAACACCATTGTAGCCCCCCCCTGCTTGAATTGAAAGCAATATGCAACCTCCACTATTCTTAATAAAATTTGACACTTACCCAGTTTAACTACTGTACTGTTGAAGTGTTAACCTTATTGATATACAGTAGAGTGAATTTTTTTTGGTCCTGTTTGTTGATTAATCCAAGATGTTAGTCATAACCTTTTATTCTGGGAGCTTTTATTCTTGAGCTTAACTCAGGTACCACCAAGTCTTTACCCAACACACCAGGTCTCTGAGACCTGGTGTGTTGCTGCCTGCCAGGAGCCAACACCAGAATCTGACTCACTGTACAAAACTAGGGGATCAGACTAAGGCTAGGGGATCAGAGATTAACCGTAAAACTGAAGAAGATCACCAGTAATCATAGGCACAACAAAATAAGTGACTGTTTAATGTAAATTAGACAGCCATAAGTAAATAGGAACAACGATCACTGCCATGGGTCCATGCCCTGCAACACTGCAACAGGGGCAGTCCTGGTTCTTGTATAGGTCTGGCAGTTGGTGGGTATTGTTGTGTCAGTTCTATCATGGAATATACTGTATAGTGCCAGCATTGTGGGGTGTTATCTGTTCATCTTCTGGTTCACCTGGTCCCCATGCTTGGAAACCTTGAAATTTTGGGAGGTGGCCCTGGGTTTGTGGAGGTTTTTGTCTTCCACTCAAGGGGTCTTACGGCCTGCTCCACCATATCTTCCTGTGTTTTCTAATGTCATTCTTGTTTTCTAATGTCATCCTTGTCCACTCCTTGGACAAGGATGGGCTTGCAGTGACCCCTGTCCTCATAGAAAGTATTCTTATTCTTTTTCTTGCTCAAGTGAGATACCATAGTGCTATGCTTTATTTTGGTCTGTTATGTCTTCTGTTGGTTCCCCCTTTGTCCTGTATTTCAGCTGACCACTGTGTTCACATTTATCAAGTAGATTTGAGCATCTCATGATTCATTTTCCTGGTTCTTTGGGGTACCTATTTGATGTTCCTGTTCATTTTGTGTTCAGGATTTGACTGGCATTTGATGTAGGGTACCATCTGAACTACTTATGGACTCTGCCATTTGATCTTCTCATTGCAACCAGAGTCTTAACCAGACTGCTCTATCTGGCCCTCTGATATCTTTGTCTTTGGTAGATCCGCATTCTGGCATATTTTGCTACTTCAGGCCCCCAGTTATCCAGTTTGTCTGCTGGTTAAAGATCTTTATTTATCCGTGCTTTCCCATTCCAACTTCTTTGTTAGCTGGCAGATACATTAGGCCCCTAGTAAATAATAAATAAATTCAATGATTCAATGATTCAAAAACTTCTTCAGCCGGGTTGGTCTTTGAGGGTAGTCTGGCTACCCCTCAAAGATCATTCCTGCTGTCTTTTCTGGCTTTGATCCTCTGTGCAGTTCCCATTTGGGGTGTGCCGACCATTCTCACACTCTCTCCTTTGTTTCTATTGAGTGAGAGATGGATATGCCCAATTTCTCTGGCTTTGCAACCTGTTTGGCCATCCATAGGTGGGCCTGTTTTCCTCTGGGTCTCAGCACTTTCCAGTCTGTGAGTCACCATATCTTGTTCATGAGGCATTCACAGAGTGCATGCTTCACTTGGACTGGGGTAGATGGGCACATCATTTCTCCTTCCCACCAGTCTGTTTGCTTCTTTCTGCATTTGCCTCAGTTTAGGCTTTTTTGAGGGCTATGTTATTTTATGGTTGCTTCTTTCTGCATTTGCCTCAGTTTAGGCTTTTTTGAGGGCTATGTTATTTTATGGTTACCCATGTGTCCCATTCCACTCTGGTTCCTTGTCTTTCTCCCTTGTTGTCCTGACGTCTTCACATCCCTGGGCATCACCTTTCTGTAAGGCTTGCCAACTTGCACATCTCCATTGTTTGCAGTTCTCCACTACTCTTTGAGTGTGGGATTTCTTGGCCATGTGTCCCATGGTTTGTTGGTGCAATTGATACTGTATCTTCATGGCGGCAGTATGTTTAGCTTTCGTTCCACCTGGTCCTTCTTAGCATCCATGTTGGTGGTTGTTGAAATTTTCGTTTGTCCTGTTTCTTGGTTTGCTAGTTGATACCTTTACTCATCTTGTTCAGCTTTGTTGAAACCTTTCTTACTGACTTTGGGGGATATTTAACCTTGCCTATTTCTCTGTTTGTCTCAGACATTCTTTTAGTCTTTGGGAAGTTCACAATTTTGGGATCTATTTTTGGTCTTTGACTAATATTGTTTTCTTATTGGGGTGGGGTTTTTCTCCTTGCCATGTGATTTCTGTATCCTGTGGCCACAGCATAACATTTTACAGGTTACTTGCTCTACTGGGGCAAAGTCTGTGTTTGACACCCATTTCTAATGTGTCTTGTTCAAAGGCCTGCTTTTCCCAGGTCCTCCACATGATAGTTCAGTTCTATCAATGGGCTGTTTGTCTGCTCTAAGAATGTGTGGTTGCTGCTTTGCAGCTTTGTCAACGGCTGCTGTTTGGGTTTGAGACTTATGGGGTTCCTTCTGATGTTAGCTCTTATTCCTTGTTTTATTCCTCACCATCTAGCCACACGTGTGTTGTGCTTTTGTGTTTTGTGCATTGCTGCTGTTTCTTGCTCTGGGCTGTCCTCTCCTGCCATTCTTCTCACAAAAGTCAGCCCAGACTGCCTGTTTTGCTTTGGCAAGAAGTTGGCCTCTGCTATCAAGACTCTGTTGTGAATAAGCTCAGGGAGCTACCGAGGGATTCCTCCCAGAAATCAAATGTTGAATGTAATGAAACCTGTTTTAATTTTCACTAGCATTATGATCATACTCTCATATGCTGAATAGCACTATTGTTGTATTTGGGATCTCCCTTTTGAACTGATATCATTTTTCAACATTTTGACACCCCATAGACACCAACCACAAGATCTTTATAATAGGCAAAAATTAAAACAGCTTCATAAAAAATATATTGGTCTTGGCTGCTATTTTTCCCAGCAGCTACATCTTATAATGTTCTTGACTAGGATTTTGTACCCCCCAAGAAACATTCACAGTTTTGGGGTTCAGGCTACAGTCAGTGCTTAGGGATGGAGGTAGGGATGTTCCTAAGTCATGATGAAGTTTCAGGGTTATGTGGATCAGGAGCATCAACACTTCCTTGATATTTGCACCAGGCATCAGGTTTCTGGCTGCTATTTTCATGGCAGTCTCCATAAGTTTCATCCAGTTTTCTGTTCATCACCTGTGCAAGGAACTAAAGAAAAATAAAGCTGATGAAGCTTCCCTCTCTAGTTTCCTTAAGCTGAAGATTGAGTTGTGATGTCTGGTGAGTTGATGATGTCGGCGGGTATTGAGGTGCTGGTGTTACAGGCCTCTCAGATAGTTGGGACAAACAATTTGTTGATAAATACAGTATCTTATTCCTCAAATATGACACGGGGTTTCGAGATTAGAGGACTATATTATCATAGCTTCTGTGCTTGTAGATTGAGTCTAGGCCTAATTTGTAAATTGGCTGATTTAAAATATTTAATCTCGGCTATGCAATTTTATTAGCATTGGAGATATTCTGTATTAGGTAGACATCCGGGGCCAGATTTACGAAGCAGTTACGCAAGTACTTACGAATGTGTAAATATTTCCTTAATCTCTGATGGCTTTGGTTACATTTATTAAACAGTTTACAAATATGAAAACTTTCTAATCAACTGTTGTTATTGTTATAAACAGCCTCCTGGTACTTCGGAGCTCATTAACTGTTTAATAATTGTAAACAAAGCTCCCAAAGATTGAGAAAAGATGTACAGGTTCGTAAGTGCTTGCATAACTGCTTCGTGAATCTGGCCCCCTGGTCAGGATAATAATAGGTACAAGCCTAGTCTAGGCACTTTTTGCAGCAGTGCAGTGTATTGCAGCTGCATTGTTAGTTTTGGAAATGGATGGCACAGATGCTGTACTTGGGGTTGACCCTGATGTAATAATCCATTTGCTAATCTTTGTCAGTCACTCCTCGTTTGCCAGCATTCTGCCCCGAGGCTGCCTCGGGTTCAGTACTTTATTTAATAATTTTTTGGGAGTTATTTGTGGCATTTGAATCAAATTGATGCATGCCACATTTCTTGAACTCAGTGTTGATATATCAAGATTGCACTTAACATAAGCAATACACAAATGTTTTCTGATTTAGCATTTCCATGGGATTCTCTTCAAACCACTTATTGACATAAGCTCTCCAAGCCTTTTTAAAGCAACTAAATAGGATTGTGTAAAATATGTGGAATTTTGGTCTAACCGCTAACCACTGTGATGCGCCGAGTTTATTGTGAAATTTCCCCTGTGCGCATGAAATCAAGTGTTCCCCAAAAATTCTTTTTTAT